ATAACTAGATTTATTTATATCTATTTATATCTACTTCTAGTTTTATCAAATAGTTTCGTGTCTGACTCCAAGATAACAATAATTTCTGATTGAAATTCGTAATTTCAATAAAACAAGAGCAGGAATTGTTTTCGAAATTATTATTTATGTAATATGTTAATAAAAATTAAAAAGGTAGGTACTTTTATTATACCTATATAAGTAGATTAGTCTTATATTTCCTCGCAAAAGAGTTACATTTTTTTTATATTTATAATCACTAAACAAAAGTATTCTGTAAAAACAATATTAATTTCCTTTATGATACCTACGTTACCTAGTTACGATAAAGAATGTAGCTAATATATTTTGGCAGAAAATTATACACTTAAAATAAATATATTTTACGTGTATAATTTAGTAATAAGTGATATATAAATTTCAATATCAGCATTAATTAGAAAATTAAAAATTATGAAACAATAGTATTTTCTGTTACAATTCTTTAAAATATTATACTGTATACACTTGTTAGTGATATATAGAATGGGTTAATCTTGAAAAATGACATTTTATAGTGAGAATTAACTATAATTAAACTATATTATAACCAAATATGTAACGCAGAAAAAGTCGAGTTTCACTGATAATGAAAATAAATAAAATTAAAAAATTTCTAGCGTTCAAAACAATTAAGATTTATGAACAGTGTCGTATTACAACCTACTAGTTGCTGTCACAATGCTTGTTTTATTACTTCTGTTTTGTTTTTGTATGATGGTATCAGGCGTCTGTAAATAAAATACAACATCACAATATTCATTAACCAATTATAGAGATAACAGAAGATCACATTCAACATTCGACTTGTCAAGGTTCGTTTGTTTGAGCTATCACTTAAAACGTTGGTATTCTAAAAAATGCCTCATAATATACCTACCTACAAGGTACAGAAACACGACTTATCATCCATCCAACCTTCTTCCCAAAAAATGTGTATTTTAATAAAAAAGTTTTTTGAAAAGTCTTTGGAACATTTATTTTATAAACAAATTACACTTAGTGTATTATGGGAGCATATATAGTTTATTTAATATGTAATTATTCCGTTGTATCGGAACTGTAATAACTTTATAATACTTACTTATAGATTTAATCCATTAAAGCTTCATAGATCCCTAAACCATATTCCAGTTATAATGTGTGGAGACTACAGTGATCAAATACGTATTTTTGTTTATAATATAAAACTGTTTTTACTGAAAACTGTCTATATACATACAGGAAACATTTTAATGGCTAAGGAACAGAATAAAATCAGTAGGTTCCTACAATGTTTTAAATCCATTCCAAAATCTCATAGGTATTATCATGTAGAATCAGGTCCATTCTCCTTAATAATTACCTATAATCACTTTAGTCCTTGTCATAATAATTTCACAAACTAAGACCTAAATTTATCAAAATGAGACGCGTATCTATACTAATATTATAAAGCTGAAGAGTTTGTTTGTTTGTTTGTTTGAAAGCGCTAATCTCCGAAACTACTGGTTCGAATTGAATAATTCTTTTTGTGTTGAATAGTCCAGTTATTGAGGAAGGCTGTAGGCTATATAACATCACGCTACGACTAATAGGAGCAAAGATATAGTGGTAAATGTGTAAAAAACGGGAGAAATTATTTCATCTTTGAAGCCTTCCGTTGCGTGCGCCGTGAAAACGGTTCAGGATACACAAAAAATATGTATTAAAGAATAATATCTCTTTTAATGATCTAAAAAACAGTCCGCGACAGTATATGTCTATCTTTTAAGATTAACTCACAAAAACCGTTTTTATGGTACTTAATTTGGTCGAAATAATTTGTTTAAGTTGTATCAACATAATAATATTAATCTTTATTCAAATAAACAAATAAATATGTTGTTGGTTAAGAGTACTTCATTGTGAATAAAAAAAAACATAGGTTTTATCCTGAAAATTCTACGGGAACTCGACCATTCCGAAAACCCCGCAAGAACGGGATCTATGTGGGAAGAACCAAAAATCTGCCGGAAGTTACTATTCCACGCAGACGAAGTCGCGGCAAAAGCTAGTAATAAATATAAATAGATTAAATTACAAAAATAAGCCTAAATAGTTTCAGAGAACACACTGTTTAAATATATAAAATCGATTAATAAGTATTTATATTTTTTTATACGAAGTTAACAGATATCTACGGTTTAATCAATCACATACCTGTGAACTTCACGTTCTTCCTGTTTTCAAATCGATTCAATTGTTGGCCTAACTGTCTACAGGAAGAGAGAAGGATTTACACAACCTGAATACTTCTTTTAAGACTTTGATGAGGTCATCATGAATTCTATTACAACAATTTTGAAACAAATTAGTCAGTTTTGTAAACTATCTTGTAATTGTGAAGTTTAGTTTGTCAAAAGGCGAATAAAAATTTTTATTAAAGAATTCTAAAACAAAGTCAACTAATGGCAATTAAACGAATTCTTCGATTTAACTATTAAATCCATGTGTGTAAATATTTGTGTAAAAAAAACTGAAAAATATATTAACAGTGTGTTTATTTTTTGACGCAATTCATGCACTTCTTAGATAAATAAATTTTATTTACTCTTCAGAGTTTACTCTGATGTGTAAGTCAATTTTTTAGTGTGGGTCAGTGTAAGGTTAAGTTAAAATTATTGACACAAAAAAATTAAATTGATTATTCTGAGAAACGTAAAATAGGGCCTAAAAAAGTTTGCATTTCCATGGACACTTGATCTGAACTTCTTAATTGAAATCTTTATTCAAGTTAGTATAGGGAGTACCCTATATACCCTAATAAGAATATAATAAATACAAAGCGTACCCCCGTACCAACTTTAATTGTGTTATTAATATTTTGTGAAAAAATGTATAAATAAAAAACTATTAACCCTATGTATGTAGTCCGACTATGAAAAATTGGAGTAAGCATACCGTTATAATTTTATTTATTTACCATTTTCTTTAGTTACAAACAAAATATTTATTGCTAAAAAGTTCCTGTTCTTAACTGTAAAGCTTCAACCACTTGCCATAACAAGCGGAATCGATCACTTGTAACGACAATTTGACTTCTTTTACGACGCGATTTCAGTTGAATTCAATTTAGTTTAGAGATATCGCGTCGTAAACCTTTGGCCTAAAGGAGCCATTTTGTTTTTGTAAATTGTTGGAGATAAATTTTATGACATTGGATAATATAGTTGACCAATAACACTTCTTATTATCACATATTAGGAATGAATTCTTCCGTAACAAATATCTTGAAATACACACAATATATATATTTATATAAATTTATTTATTTAATATTTTTACTTAATTTCTAATAAAATAACAACTAAGGGTTCTATTTAGTATGAACAACCAAATATTATCTGATCATACATTTTACAAGTGCCAACACAAACAAGCTAATCTCATTTTTTAAACACTTGAAAGACAATCTTGGATGTTTCCCAGCACCATCGGTATATTTAGTTATGTGAAACAAGTATTTAGTTTAAAGGAAAGTTTTTTAGTATAACAGATCGTTATTTTTACGTTCACACACAGAGTTCTCTTTTTTATTATTTTCACTACGTACGATACTGTCCTCTGAAATATGAATTAGATAATAGTAAGTATTTTTTATAAGCATATTTTAAATTAATAGGGATAAATTGGATGTTATAGAGATATATTAATTCAATAAAGTCCAAAACTATCATCTGACCGGACTATTTATTGTCTTAAAGAAATTTTAAAATATCTCTTTAAAAAATAAATGAATGCTTAATGTATTTAAAACTTAGAACAGAATTTTTTCTTACCGTATTAGTAATTGTTTTATCTATATTTGATAAAAAAAAATATCAGAAGTAGTTATAAGTGATTCATTTGTTGTAATGATTTAACCCTGTTATTACACAGTTTTTTTTCTATATAAAAGAGCATTTTTAACGTTTTGTTTATTATTTACGGAAAAACTCTGTAATGAAGGCACAAACACAATATCTAAACGAAATAATAACATTAAAGCTATACGTGATTTTCAAAAGGCGATCTTATTGCTAAATTTAAATCTCATGAAAGCTTAAATAATATTTATAATGTTGTTTATAAAGTTTGTAAAACAATAATTGTTTATAGTTAAAAATCGATCTAATATTTGATTCAAGAAATCATCCAAAACGAAATAATATTATTAGAAATTGTAACGAAATATCTTACTTCTGTACTAAAACATATTTGAATATAAATTTATAACAAATAACAAATTAAATTTCTTATGTATGATATAACCTTATATTCAGGTGCCTCATTTCAAACATAAAGGATGTTTAAACATGAGCGTATTTATTGCTTGATATTTAATTCAACATAATATTCCTCGACGTAACAAATTACAGAGATCGTTTTAAAACTATTTAGCGGTTAAACGTTAATATGTTTTAACGGAGTACGTTGGTGGCGGTCTGTAAACAGTAGATTTCAGTCGACGAAGGATCCAACACAGAAGCACTCATTACAAGCCTCCACATAACTAACCAAAACATCATAAAACTTGATACATGATAAGCAATAACAAACCTTAAAACTATGATATTAAAGTCAGGATTCAATAAAATATTTTATATATCTTGAGTGGTAGCTACAATAGCATCTTCAAAACGAAGATACAGCTATTATTAGGTGTTAGCGTGATTATTTGACAGTTTGAAAACGTTTACAGATTTTAGGTACATTGCGGGGCAATCTGGCTTCCTGCTTTTAATATAAACACTGCTTAGCAAAGTTTTTGGCAAAATTATTGTTATTTTATATAACGTAAAGTATTTTATAACTGTCGATAAATCAATATATTTCAAACAATGAAACTTGATTTACATTCGAACTAGCAAGGGTTATAATGGTTTAATATCAATAAAATTTAAGTACAAAACTAAAATAAAAATAATTACACGTGGTCACTGAACATAAAAGAATTTATTTTAATTAAATGATGTATTATTATTTGTACTCCATTTTGCATAGCCTTCGCATAGCTGTACAAGTGCTGTGAATAGCACCTCTGGAGGAAAACCGATATCATTTACATCTCTTCTTTCTCTGTTCAGACGTCCGTATGATGGAAACGTTGTTTGAGGTCTCTTAATTCCAGCGTTCACAAAAAATGTCGGCGCCGGAGTCGTCACTATTGTATTGTGTTTTGATTTAACTGCTTGCACTATTAAACACAACAGATAACCTCCAAATGCGAGGAAGGCGAGGGTTGTTACCGACATAGTGAAGATATTACTAATTTTACTCTTCCCATCCTTCTTGAACAATGCTTCTTCGTAATCCATTTTTCTATTTGGCGGGGCCTTTATAGCCATTGCTTGTGCACCAAAACTTTCATATGGAGTAGATGCGGTGACATTTTCGTATTCTGTCGTGGTGTCTTTTAAAGAGTTTTTCAATTGCAACAGCTTCTCCAAGCTAAGTTCGTTGAGGTATTGAATTTCTTCTGTTGTCATATCACACGAAGATATTGTCAGAAGCAAAATAAATATGTAGATACGTTGTAGCATTCTCGTGCTCGAATGAAGTGAATTCATAGAGCTGAAATACTTGGAGAACATTATAAAGCTGGCGTGAAATATTATTGTGGTCTAGTAAGCGGAACACGCGAATAGCGGTTTACGTGTGGAAAATGGAAAAAAGTTTCATACCTTTTTCAATATGTTTGACATAATTTCAAATTAACACTTGGTGTTTTTCACTATGGGAACGAAAAATTAGAAAAATTAGTGTAAACCTTATCATATTGTTTGAAATTGTTTAATTTTAGGCAATGTATAGAGTGATCAATTTATAGATTTATCTTGACCTCCTTTCAAAGGAATATTATATAGTTTTTGGTATGAAAACTTTATCTAAGGATCTCCACGTCAAATATAAAGTTACGTTTGAAAAAAAACATCTTAATCATTTATTTAAATGATTTAAAAGTACACACATGATGTAAATGCTATAAATATTTTTTTATTTGTTTTGGATTCAACTTGAAAATAAAAACCCATCAAGTAATTTTGACATAGTGGTAGTTCTTCTCACTTCACTTCACATAATATAAACTTACGTTATGAACTATTTGGCTATTCGACTAGGGTTCCTTAAAAACTAAAATTCAAATTCGACAACCTATAAAATATTCACGAATAGTTTTCTTGTTACTATAGAATTTTTCCCCAAAGCTATTAGATATAACGTAGACAGTGTAAGACCTATTACTAAAATAAAATTGTCTCGAAGGATTGAATTTTTAATACTTGCTTTGTCATTAATGTCATATTACTTCGATGACTTACAAATATTTCAGATCAGTTAAATAAAAATATCTCACTGACATTTTCTTACTTAAAAAATAAGCTACGTACAATATGAGACTTAAAAGACTTACAAGAAACTTGAAAATAAATCTGTTCAACAAGGCTAAGCTTAAACTTTTTCTTGACATTTTTCCATTATAATAATAAGTATATTAAAATTGTAAAGCGATTGACTAAAGTTGTGGAGGATGAAATTTGATGCCAAAATATAATTTAATTTTTATGTCATAGTATTTAGGATTCAACATCCTGATCGCAGTGTTGATATAAGTAACGCTTTCATATAACTATTTAGGTTACCTAAGAGTACCGAAGTACTAAACAAGTTTATCTTTGTTTTAACTACAACTTTGATTGATGACTTAAAATAACAGTGTCTCCTACAGTCAGTGGTGTACAGTGGGATTTTTTGTTTATTTCTTATTTATATTTCATATAACATTAAAACTTAGAGCTAAGAAAAAGAAGTACCTATTGTATGTTGTCAACTGCTGTCTTAGTGTGTTTTTAAGTTTTTTTTTAATAATCCCTAATTTATAGTTAATTATTTATTAACGCCTGGTTTAGGCAACCATGTACGTTTCAAATAAGTTAAATTATGTTAAATTACAAATCAATCATATAATCATACCTTTATAATAATTATGTTGATATATTTTATTTTAAGAAAGACAGTAAAAACTGAAAAAATATTTTACTTCATTTGTAACTAAATTCTTTTGGATGTTTTAAAACATCGTTCACACTTATAAAAATAGCAACGAAATTATAAACTTTAAAAAGTTTGCATACCGAAAAAGGACATCTATCGGATTATTTTTGAAATTTATAATATCGATTCTTCTTTTTTATTTCTATAGTTATATAAGTATTTTTTATTTATATTAAATAAAATATACGAAATGATAGTTAGAACAGCCTGTAGGTTAATTCAAATAACAACAAAAGCATTTTATGCTCTACTGAGATGGTTGCGCATGCGCCATCATATCAAGAAGCGAAGCGTCACTTTATACAGCGCGCTTTGCCACATATCATTGTAATGTGGCCAGCGACGTCAAGATGGCGTCACTAGTGCTTTTATTTATTTTATTTAAATTCGTGTCCGGAAATGAAAGCTATGGAAGCAATGGAATCTTACACCATCTGAATAATGGCATAAAATTTGCAAAAGACTTTTTAGGTAAGTGTTTATGTAATATAAGTGAAACTATTTACTAGCTATCACCAATTTCCGGATTAAGCATATTTTTTTGAGCAATTTATGAACAATATTAAAAAATTATTACTTTAAGTTATACGAACGAATAAGAAAGAAATTGTCAAAATTGTATACCTTCAAGTAAGCAGGATCTAAAAAAAAATTTTAAATTTTAGGATCGGAATCTATAACTATGAAAGTTGCCGACTTCGTGGTTCGTGCCTTTCAAACCGAAAAACCAACATTAAACAAGAGACGACCAAATCAGGGAACTTTCGAGAGCAATGAAGATTATTCAAATGAAAAGCAATCTTATTACAACATAGATGAAGCTAAATCTCCAACGTCACCTTTAAAACACATCGTCAAACTTCTAGGTCTTCAGCCGAATCAAATAACTGCAGTGGCTGTCAATGCTCTTATATTTGTAGCACAAATGGTAAAAATATTAAATAAACATAATACTTTCAAACAAGTATGTATTCAAAATAATTTTAGACTTTTAAATTATTGCTTTATTTATAATTTAATTAATTTCTCAACTTCTTAATTCATAAAACGTTTCTCTACCATTTTTTATTCCCGAGAGTCCAAACGAAACATAGACCTTTCAAAAATAGGATATTTTATTGGAGATTTCATAGGTTTTGCGGTACCAATAAGCATTTTTATTAATAAAACTGCTAAACTTTTGCAGATCACCACCTTTCTTGCTGGTCCTAAACACTCAAACAAACCACAAAGATCCGACGATCTCACCTCTTGGATATTAAACAAAAACTCAAGAAAGCTTCAAGAGATTATCGCGACCGCTAAGAATGATTCACTGCCCGACCTCATTGAAGATCTTATCGACGAACAAGGAAACGACGAAGAAACAAGTTGCATTCGTCTGTTAGTTTGCAAAATAACTCCATTCGTGAGCAAAATGCAGGAAGCGGTGTTTGATAAAGACATTGTGAGAAGTAATGAACAAACACGCGGGGCTTCAATAATGTACCAACATTTACCGTCCTCCGAAGAAATTCATTCCAGAGGAGAAATATGCGAAAAGAAACATAAAGATTGCAGATTATACGACTAATGTATACCTTTGAAATTAAATCAAAATAATATATGTAAGGATTTTGTATTTTTATATATAATTAATTGTTACGAATTATAATCAATATCCGCCATTATATAACGTCACACGGCAATAAAATTAACAAAATATGTAAACGGAACTGAACATTACGTAACGAATAGTTCAATGAACCGTCCGTGTAATAATTTAAATATTTATTTTCTTTATTAAATCCTTATGTAACAGTCTGAATCGTGAGACAGCGCGGCGTAGTGACTTTGGGACCAGTTATTGAAAGTCACACTACCTGCGGACCTACAGTTAATAAATGATAGATATTTTATATTATATAATTCGCTATTATATCCAATATGTGTATATATTCCATGGAAAATCACCTCGCATACAAAAACTCATTGTAAAAAATGTTGGTGTATTTCTATAATGCTTTCTTTTTGTGTTACAATTCTTGATTTATATAACACAGATTAAAAATCATTAACTCATATTGGCACAAAACGTCAATAAGTTGTTTTTTTAAATTTATTTAAAAAGAGAAAACGTTTAAATTATACAAATATGTATTACATATAATAAATATGTTTTTCATAAACAAAATACTTCCTTATTCAAACATTTGAATGTATCTCTTAATGCTACTCTTAACATGAAAACTATTTTTTTAAGAAACTTCATAGTGATGTGCCCATATTCTAGAAATTAGATAGCAGTATATACAAATATATATAAAGTTAATACGCACTTTCCTTCGCTACGAAAATTGAAAAAAAATATCGAATAAGGAATTTTTGTACTAACAATCACTATTCCGTCTATTATTAAATCCCAAAACAATGATTAAATACTTTTTATTAACCAAACTCCTTTGTGACAACCAATAAAAAGTATAAATACATTATGAATACTGAATGTGTGAATTAACGAATGTCAATAAAGACAATTGTATAAGGAGTGATGTAATAATTAGATAATATTAGTTCGATGGGCGAAGTGTTCAGTAAGTGGTATTATATAAGACATTTGGTACTTACACTGTCAAACGACAGTGACGTTTTATTTTGACTCTTAGTTGTCATACGAATAGTCGATAAATAATCTATACATATGAATAAAATTTGATCGTATATTTGTAATATTAAAATAACCGTTTTTAAATGTAGTTATATGAATATATATTCGGAATATACGACAAAAACACATTTTTTCATAGATTTTTCATCGTTTTTAAAACAGATAGAGTCGCGGGTAGAAATAAACTGTAAAGAAATATTCTTTAATTTATTGCAGTATGTAAGTTATACGTTTTTTGATAACACAAAATCATTTATAAGCAGAGTGAACTATGTCATCAGATAATTAATGAAAATTGCAAATATTTAAAATTGAAATATGTAGTTGTTGTGTATGGCGTATCATGAGTAAAAAAAAGATGCAATTGACGATGAAGATGATTCTTGAACTAAAATCCTTAATTTCTTTTTTAATCCTTGCATCTGTACACAATTATCTGTAATATGGTTTCTTTAGTTTTTTCCGATAATTTTTAGTCAGAATTTAAAAAAAAACCTTTATCACTTTCTACCAATCCATTTAATTTTAAAATTCTATCAACTATAAGTTTGAATCGACACCATTCTAAGAAACTCAAGAGAAATTTTACTCTCATGATACTGGGTTTTTCCACATAACAACATTTAAATTTATTTATTACATTGCCGTTGAAAAGTATACTTTTAAAACTATAGGGAAAAGGTTGGTAGCAAATTAAATATAAAACATTTGGTCGTGTAGACAGAGCGCGAAGGAGAAAGTGGTCACATGGCGTTTAAAAAGTAACCGAAAACACAAAAAGAGTAAGTGTTAAACACGGACGGACGTTCACCTTATCATTAGGCGTAATTATTTAAAGGTTTATATTCAATTGGCCTGATAAAAATGAAAGCTGAAAAATGACTAATATAAAACGAAAAAATATATATAAAATGTATTTGAGAACTTTTAAATACATGTGATTAAAATTTCAAATCACAATGATTCAAAAATAAAACATGCTTCACTATTTCTGAACGATAATCAAAAATAAATATTATTTATCCACACCTTTCCAAAAACTTTGCAAATATTATCACATCGTCCTTGTTCTATAATTCTAAATTGATAATAAATTACGCTAAAAGTTTTTTGTTTGTTTACCATCAAAGATATTAGGATATGTGACATAGTTAACAAAAAGACTAAGTTTTAATTATCAAGAGTTAATATTATTCTTTAAGTGAGTCAACCATATATCAAAGATATTGTAATATCGAAGTATATCTAACCTTGTCAATAAGACCTAGAAGTTACTTAAAAGTATGTCACATGTGAAAATATAAGAACAATAGTGACGCCATTTCCTTGTATTTTCTCTTCACATGAAATGGTATATCAAAATCATAACCTATTGTATATAAATGATTCGTTCTGCTTCGCAATTGGATCAAACTTCACTTTCTAAGCGACAATAAAACTATCAAGTTTATGATATCCTGATGTTTATACTTTATAATATGCACAATGGCAAAGAAATGTTAAACGGTTTTATTAAAAGATAGTAGATGGAATATTATACACATTATATTTTATATAAACAAAGCGGTTGTTTAGTTGTTCTAACAGTGCACAATAGAATACCTAATGAAGTTTCAGACCTAATTTTTACTTTTTATTTACAGACACATTACCATTAAACTATACCCTAAAATTCTATCCACAACCCATTCGTGTTGTAGATATTTCGTTACGCAATCTTTCGTTAACAAACCCATGATCCGTTTTTATTTCGTTGAATGATTCAGCCAAATATTATCTTCTATATATATAAAAATGGATTGCTGTTCCTTAGTCTCGCTAAAACTCGAGACCGGCTGAACGGATTTATCTTATCTTAGTCTTGAAATGTTCGTGGAGGTTCAGGGAAGGTATAAAAGGTGAGAAAAATTGGAATGATTTCCGGAAAAACCCTAAAAACAGCCCTTTTCTATTTCCCATACAAACGCTTTTTTTGACATTAGATTTGACAACTAACTAATATGTCAATCATTCTGTTCGATTGAAACAGGAAAAACCTGATTATTTATGGCCTCTAAGACGGAATAGAGTTCGCCCGGTCAGCTATACATATATTACTAATGACGAAACTAACGCAGACGAAGTCGCGGGCAAAAACTAGTATATAATAAATACGTGTAAGGTAGTAGGAATGCGTGTCCTTCTAGGTCAGATATAATAGACTGTCATTGACCACTAAGAACGAAAGCTAACATTTCGCTGTGCTACTGCCCTACTCAGTCATCGCTGTTTATTTACATCAACTTTTTTATAACCACTATAAAATATAAATTACAAGATACTTTATAATGAAATTGAAAATATGAAAGTACATATTTCAGTATTGATGATTAAGTGTAAACATGACAAGGTTCAATTTACCCCAGCTCCATATATGAACATAATACTACATATTTAATTGGGTATACTAAATTAATGCATGGAGTATTTTATACTCATTCATTACCAACAAGACTTATTTGGCCGATTTTGGCTTACTCAAGTACCTACGGCCTATCTATATTAACTTAAAAAGGGTCAGTGCTAGCAAATACGCGACCAAAACGTAATGAAATAAGCAGTTGGGAATTACGTACAATATTAAAATATTTCTAGTAAAATTATCAATTTCAATAAATGTAATCATTTTCCGCCGGTTTTGCCTGTACAAGCATCATCGTTGAACTCAGTTCAGCTCTGTAAAGGAGAAAAGTAAACCAAGTTCGCATTCCAAGTTTACAGTTACCCCGTGACATGCAAATTGATAAATACACTGGTCAGGTGTCGTGGCTATTTAGGTCTACTAATACATAACTTGTGAATTGGAGATAATTTGGAAACTTCACTCTAAAATTATTTAAAACGAATACAAAGTTTTCTTTCTTGACTTCAATCTAGTTTAAGTATATCATTGATCTAAATATCTGTCAAATATATACAATATAGAGTCTCGACAAAAATTTTCAGGTAAAAAGATCATTAATATAGTATAAAGGTCAAATAATAATATTTTTCAACTCGTCTTTTAATCTCTTCTTGTTTATTTGTCTATGGCATTTCCTAAATGAAATCCCATCTTGATTAAGGTAAATTTTATCCAGCAACAATTGTGAGGGTTAAAAAACAAAGAATTTCTACAATACATACTTATTTATACAAGTATTTTAATGTATACAAGTAGTAATTTTCAACCAAACAGATATAGATATCAAGTATGTAGCAATGTAGAAAGCCCAGAATTGTAACTCACACGATAAGAGATGGATGACTTAAACCAGTTTTTATTGAAATAAAAACATAACAATGATGATGATATTTTAAGATATATCTAGTCAGAAACCTTCGCATCCTAATTAATGCTTGTGAAAATACGTATTAAAAATTATCTGACATTTAGGAAGGCGTTCCTTTTTTAATATTATAAATTCTTAAAGCTTTTTTGTTACGTATACGTATTTCTTTATAGTCTTTGCTTAACTTTTTTCCATTGAATTTTCTAAAAAGACTCATTTGTAGCAAAAAAATTTATGAATCCAAACTAAACCGCTTTTTGTTCATGGCCTAATAACCAGGTTATACTCGCTATAAAATAAATTAAAAAAGAATTGTACCATCAAATGTATTCAATGACAAAATAGTTTTTTTTTTTTTTAAAGATGAACATTCTTTAGATGTACTTACGCATTTTCTAAACTAATCTTTTTTTATTTCAAAGGTAAGGTAAGGTAGGTATATTTTTTATTTCAAAGCTAAAGGGAAGGTAGTTACCACCGCCCATGGTCCATGGACATCTGAAAAATCCCATATGTTGCACACTCCTTGCCTACCTTGATTGTAGGAGAGGGAGAGGAAAGGGTGGGAAAAGGCAACCATCTCTCTCACACATCGGACGAAACGCAGCCACTAAA